GTATGTATGTATGTAATAATGTAATGTAATGAATGTAATGTAATGTAATGTAATGTAATGTAATGTAATGTAATGTAATGTAATGTAATGTAATGTAATGTAATGTAATGTATGTATGTAATGTAATGTAATGTAATGTAATGTAATGTAATGTAATGTAATGTAATGTAATGTAATGTAATGTAATGTAATGTAATGTAATGTAATGTAATGTAATGTAATGTATGTATGTATGTAATGTGATGTAATGTAAAGTATTGTAATGTAATGTATGTAATGTAATGTATGTATGTCTGTGTGTATGTCTGTCTGTCTGTCTGTATGTCTGTATGTATGTATGTATCCTTGCACTTCCCCTTTGCTCCCCAGTATTTGCCGCAAAAAGCACGGTTTTTCCAGCGTTTTCGCAAAGAGGATGTCCAAAAACACAGAGTTTTTCCAGATTTTCGGCAAAAGGATGCAGGAAGCCCAAGCCAGCAAAAAAGCCGGCAGGGGGAATCGAGCCTGGGACCCCTGTTTTGCGACACCGGCTCCCCGAAGACTACGTTTAGTGGAACGTGATCAAATTGCCGCGCGGTCCTTGGGGGGGGGGGGCCACCCACGTATCAGGGGGTTATCCTCTATCCTCTCTTAGGTGTCCGACACGCCGAGCAATGTCGGCGGATATATGTATAGAATGTGTGTCTGCTTGCGCACTTGCGCACACACGCACGTATGTATATACATGACCACTAAATACATGCTACCCCCACTTCTGTAATGCAGGTCTGCTTTGAGCTTGGCAGGGATCCAGCTTTTAGCAGCTGGATGAAAACACATGTGCGAGTTGGTCGGAGGCTTTGAAGCTCCAAGAGCTGCTGAACTTCTGTGTTTCCTTGCGGCCGCCAGTTTTCCAAACCGCGCAACGACCAGAACCCTTGATTCCAGACTTTGAGCTTGTTTCGTTTTCGTGCGGATTTTGGAGCTTTCGCTCCTACAAAGTTGCATGTGTTGCTTCCTACACACTGCGTTCTGCGTCTTTGGTTCATCTGTTTGTCCTAAATTTGCACTGCAATAGCTGTTGTTTTTGATTTTTGTGTGCTCGAAATCAAAAAAGCTGGCCGGGCCAACCTTTAAACACTGTATGTCCAAACATCGAAGTCGGATTCTGTTCTTTGTGTACGTGGAGACTTATCATGTTGGGGTGCATCAACACGGATCTGTCAACAAGAAAACTGAAACCCACCATCGCCGTGTGTTCATACTGAATTGTTGGCCTGCGCACAGCGTATAATGTGTATACGAACAACTGTGTGCATGGGAAATGGTTTCAGACACATGGCCATTTTTCCCCAGGAGCTAAAAGCTATAAAGTCTTTGCCCAGATAGGCTCTGGGGCGGTTTGGGGCCGCTTTCAGGTTACCGTCTGGGCTTATTTTGTGGTTTCGCTTCTGAGCGTTTTGGGAGTCACGCAGGTGAATTGGCACATGTGCTTCGTCCGTTTGCACAAGTGGAACCTCTGGGGTGGCAAGGCCCATGCCTCAGCTTGATCTCCGACCCAAGTTTTGGAACCCCCCTCGGCCGTGCCGAGGCGACAGAGTTCCCATACCCCATGATGTGGAGACTGCGGAATCAGTGAGCCGGACAGTCAAGGACCCCCCCCCGCTCCCCGCTGTGCGTTGAACGTACCTGGATCGCCAGTTGCTGTTTGTTCTATCCACTTTAGCCCAAACACCAGCAACAGTGACTGAAACAAACAGCAACTTGGCTATCCAGGCAGAAACCGAAGCAGTCCCTACCCATCTTCCCCGCTATCATGGCACCTGACAGAGGGTTACAAGAGGAGATTGATCTTTGACATGCCCTGCAGGTGCTACTGATGGACAAAACCCTGCACCACGTTGAAACCATGGGCCAGTGTTTCTGTTGGTGTTTATAGGGGAATCATCATTCCAGGGTTTCTTAGGTGTAGGATTTTGTCCATCATGTGTGTGAGAGGAAGGGTGTGCTTCGGATTTGACGCCTGTGGAAGCACAATGTTCTTCAGGACTCGGCCCTCATTGCCTCGAGAGTGAATGCCAGCCATGGAGAAAAAGGGCTGGGAGCTCGCGAGTGCCACCGGGCCATGCCCAGGGGTTTTGGTTTGCCGCATTTCGACAGTGCTCTCCCCTATTTGTAGGGAAGAAGCAGAGATTGGGCCACGTCCTTTCACAAGTTAAACCATAGGCTATGTGGCTGTGAGTCAAAAGTAGGTACGCAAAATGGAACCCTGGTAAATGGAAATATGGACTAAAATCTGCGGTCCAATTCCTGGTGGTTTAATGTTGACCCATACCCACGTTGTCCGTTGCTCAGACAACATGTGCAGCTGGACAGCACAGATCATTCGACAGCTTCGCAGGGCACCTGGACGCACCTGATTGAGCTGCGAGCACGGCTCAAGGAAGCATCCACAGCCCAAGTTTCTGTGAGGTGCTTTGCGTTGCCATGCGTTGCCATTTTTAAAGTGGAGCACCTACTGCGATTGACCCTGACTGTGTAGATTTAGACTATGTGGCTTTGTCCGGAAGCAAACGAATCTTCCGACTGATGGGCTTCCTGTTGGCTGTCTTGCAAAGACTGGTGTGTTTGAATAACTCAGCTCATTGGAAATTGCATGCCTGTCAGCTCGTTCTGAAACGCTCTAGATGCGCTTGGCTGTGGCATGGCTGCTTGCAAGCAAGACCTGCCTTGCGGTGCAAACAGGCGGGCTTTGAGGGGCCTGTAAGCACCCAGAGATGTGCAAATGGCAGTTTCACGCGGCTGTTTGAGACGTGAAACATTCCAAACAGAACTAAACGAAGCCCTTCTTTGGGGCGAGACTTGACAGAGGTTGGCTCCAGAGGTACATGGGGACGAGATGAGCATCTCGTGAAGGCGTCCCTGAGAAGTTGTGCATTCCATGGGTTTGCAAGCAACTAAGAGCTAGATCAACAAACCCACAAATCACCAAATCCAAAACTCAGCTGCCCTCGTGGGATCCTTTGGCCATGTCCAAAAGTGTCCGAAGTGTTTGGCTTGCCTTCAGTTGACAGATCAAGACCCCATTGAGACTTGGACAACTGGGAGCGGCCAACCTATCCACGGAAAGGCGCGGGGGTTTCTTTCCGGGTTTGGCGGACGTTTGGGAGTCGAGCTTTCCCTCAGACCTCATGTCACATCTGGCGACGCCTTTTTCTAGGGGTAGCTTCCCCATCCTTCTTTCTGGCAAACCAAAAGAGCTGGACAAATGACTGGGTTTTGAAAAAAACAACGATGACTGAAAAGACTGGGCAATCAACCGCTGGATTTTTGGTGTTTTTCCACCAGGCTCCTTCCTGGAGCTGCAGAGCCTTTGGACAAAACCGGCGTGGAGCCAGCAGGATGGCGGCACCGTTTGCGCGCCCGTGGGCCTGGCGGACCTCTTGCGGCTCCAGGCCGAGCCAACTCGACTCTTTTTGCTGGACCTGTGGGCCGGATGGTTTTGGGTTGGATTTTGAATATGTATATAGTATATAGGTGTGTATATGTATGTGTATATGTATGTATGTATATAGATAGATATATATATATATATTATGAATATATCATAACTGTTATATACATATCATGTACATAAATGCATACATAGATAGTTTCTCCCCCTTGCCCGCAGAAAGTTCGAGAACTTTTGCGGCAAGAGCCCTTTTTGCGATCCAGGGCGAAAAAATAACGAAGCAAGTTTCCCACTGAAATGGGGTCGGTTTGGCCCTTTGGCCCATCAAACAACCCGCTGATCACCGCCCAAGAAAGGTCCCACACCAGTTTTGGAGGCGACTGAAAGTCCATGAGGCTCAGATGGACAACCTGTGTGAGGGTTGAAAAGGACACCGATACCTAGACACAGCCAGGGAAACCAAGCGCTCAGAGTTGTTTGCTAGCCGAGAAACAATGAGGGCTCGGGGAAGCACGGGTGTGTCAACTCTGAATATGGCTGTTTTCAATCAGTTTCCTTCAACAAGCCATCCAAAAGGGGTCCCCATTCATGGAAACAACCTCGTGGGTAGCATTTCTTGCCAAATTGTCAAAGCCGGCAAACCTTTCTTCAAAACGAGACTGGCATGAAACCATTGTGATGTGAGAGGGTCCAATGGATTCTTGCTACCCAGGAGGAATAGTTGTGTCAATGTAGTACTTATGGTCATCCCTATTTAGTCGCTCAATAAAGCTTTACACATGCTTTTCTCTTGGGCTAGTCTTGCAGATGGGGTCATTACCAAAGAGCGTGCTTGCCAAGAGGCAATTCTCCACTAGAAGTTGTCCAAGTTTTTTGCGGATTGAGGCCCAAAGGCGAAGACGTGGCTTTCTGTCTTTTAGGGCACCCCGTCCAGGATCATGCTGCATGGTTGTTATTGAATTTTGGATAGGGCTTCCGAGTGGAGCAGGACTGAGCCAACCATTCCCCTTCCATAAAGTATATTTTGAGCCATCTAAGGTCATGTATCCAATGCGTCAAATAGGGACCCGGACCGCCAAAAATGGGTGGTATTCCCTCCATTGAATATCGTGCGGCTGCAAACCCGCCACCCCCGCTTTTACCAGGCGCTAGTCGGGGAGGTGGCGCAGCTGCTGCGGCTGGCCAAAGCGCGGTGGCTGCTGAGCCACGGCTCGCTGCTGGGCGCCTGGCTGCACCACGGCCCTGTGCCCTGGGACGAGGCGCGCGCCGCGCGGCCAGGCGCCAAGTCTGGCCACGCCCCCCGCCCCAAGCCCCAAGCCCCCGGCTACCAGTCCTCAGTCCTTCAGTCCTACCAGTTGGTTCATAGTCCTGCCACTGCCGTCCCCAGTCAGTCCGCGCACTCCCAAGTCCCCAGTTCCCAGTCAAGGCCAGTCCCAGTCCCACCACCAGCTTCCCAGTTCGCAGTCATCCAAGCCCAGTCCCAAGTCCCAGCCAGCAAAAGTCCCTGTCCTCCACAGACCAGTTCTCACCACTCCAGGTCTTCGTCAAGAATAGATTCCCTCTAGCTCTGTGGAGACACCTTCGGTGCTCCTTTTTGTGAGACCTGTGGCTTGGCCCGCCGGGAAAGAAGATCCCTAGCATGGGACCATGGTGGCCAATGCATTTGGGTATGGGTCAAAATTAAACCACCTGGAATTGGACCGCAGGTTTTGGTCCATGTTATTTACCAGGATTCCACGTTGGGAACATATTTTTGAGCCACAGCCATTTGAGGTTTTAGCACCAACTCCTTGGGAGACAGGAGGCCGACATCCTGCTCTTCGCCGAGGACTTCCAGCGGCTGCTGGCGGTTTTGGGCGCGGAAGATTGGCTCGCCCAGTCCCGGCGGGTGTCGACGCCGGGCGAATTGGACGAATTCAGGAGCCAGCGGGTCCAAGTTGGGACGTTTGGTGGTTTTTGCATGGGTGGGTGGTTGGGTGGGTGGGTAGGTCAAGGAATCTGCCAATTGGCCCCCCAAAAAGTCTCCAGTCAGCTCGGAAGCGTGCGTTTGATCGCCGGGAGTGGCCTGAGCTTTTGTCGAAGCTAAGGAAGCAGCTTCCAAATCTACGAGGGCACGCCAGTGGGTGCCCTCCGTTACGACGTGCACGAGCACAGGGACCAGGCCTATCGTTTGATTAGAGGGGAGTCAAGGGGCATGTTGGATGCCGATATGGCTATGAGTTTTAATGGGGAACCCCTGAAAAGTGATTGGTGCACATGAATCCCCACCTAAATGATGTCCACCAAAGGCCATACTACCCAGATATGTGTCAGAACTGGTGACTCACCCTACCCAAGTTTGGATTCATATCGGTCCCTTTTCAAAGTTCAGCCCGAACAAAGTTCCTGCTCTTTTGCATGCCTGTCCTGAAACGAAGAGAGACTGCATGTGTGGGGTCAGAATGGCACAATCAGAACGTGGAAGGGCAGTGAGGGCAGTCCCAGGTAGTAGGTGTGGCCCTTATACAGATTTATCCAATTTGATAGGTTTTGATTGGGATTCTGGAGGTATCTGGAGCTTTTTTTGGGCAGATTTTAGCAGCTGAGCAAAGCACATGTCCACACATTAGATGTCCATGTGTTGAAGGCCAACTACACCATTTTCCTTAGGGCGAGCGGTTTGGGGGGGGGGGGGTTGGCAGGATTTTCGGGGGAGCGAGTGTTGCGAAGGTTTCCGAAGGTTTCGGAGGGTTCCGGGCTGGCGTGGAGCCGCTCTGGGCCATCCGCTTTCGACATCTTTCGACATTTGGGTTTGTCTCAAAATAGGTGTTCCTGTTGGTTTCCTTCTGAACCACGCCCCACACTGGCACCCTCAAAAAGCACAGACCCATATTCGTGGTTGTTGTTGGGGAAACAAAAACAAGCACATTCTTGCTTATTGTGTTTAGCGGGAAATCCCGCACTGCTAAACAATATGTTTGTTGCTCCCCTTCCAACGTCAAACCAAGTATTATGGCAGCGGTCTCCCTCTTTTGAGAGGTGGGGCTCTGGTTGGCTACGGCAGTGACCTTCCGGTTGCACAGCGGCGCGCGGGACGACCCGGTGCAGCTGGACGCATTCTTGGCCAAGGCCAACGGCAGTGGCTGGGTGAAAGGACGTATGGTTCAAAATAAAACTACCAGGGGACCGCATGGATTGTTTTGTTTATTTACTAGGGTTTTATGTTTTGGATACTTATTTTTGACACACACACACATATTAAGATAGTAGAACCCCTGGCATGCGCATCAAAAAAAAATTAATTCAGGATCAAAAAAAAATTAAATCAGGATCAAAAAAAAATTAAACCGTTTTACAAGCACACACACGTAGGCCCCAGGGCCAACCGGGGGTGGCCAGTTAGCAAGTTAACAAGTTAGCAATCCTTCGGGGGGGGGGAGGGCCAGTTAGCAAGTTAACAAGTTAGTAAAGTCGGAGGGGGGGAGGGGGGGTTAGCAAGTTAACAAGTTAGGGGGGAGGGCCAGTTAGCAAGTTAACAAGTTAGTGAAGTCGGTGGCGGGGGGGGGGGGTTAGCAAGTTAACAAGTTAGCGAAGCAATGCTTCGGGGCGGAGGGCCAGTTAGCAAGTTAACAAGTTAACAAGTTAGTGAAGTCGGGGGGGGGGGTTAGCAAGTTAACAAGTTAGCAATCCTTCGGGGGGGAGGGCCAGTTAGCAAGTTCAGAAGTTAGCAATCCTTCGGGGGGGGGGGCGAGGGTCTGTTAGCAAGTTAGCAAGTTAGCAATCCTGAGAGAGGGAAGGGCCAGTTAGCAAGTTAGCAAAGTCGGAGGGGAGGGGGCGAGGGGGGGCGGAAGTCAGCAAGTTGACAAGTCAGCACTCCTTCCGGGGGGAAGGCCAGGTAGCACGTTAACAAGTTAGCAATCGGGGGGGAGGGCCAGTTAGCAAGTTAACAATCTAGCAGGGGGGGGGGAAGTTAACAAGTTAGCAATCGGGGGGAGGGCCAGTTAGCCACGGGGGAGGGCCAGTTAGCAAGTTAACAATCTAGCAGGGGGGGGGGAAGTTAACAAGTTAGCAATCGGGGGGAGGGCCAGTTAGCCACTTAACAATCCAGCACAGTTTGGGGGGGGGGGGTCGCGTTGAGATCAATCACGGAATCACGGAGTCCGATCAGCATGGCTGCGCGCACGCGTACATACCTACCTACCAACATACACACACACACACATACTAGATACTACATACTACATACACATGCATGCATACATACGTACATACGTACATACATGCATATACACACATAAATGCACACGCAAACAGGCACACACACACACATACATACATGCATGCATGCATGCATGCATGCATGCACACACACACATACATACATACATACATACATACATACATACATACATACATACATACATACATACATACATACATACATACATACATACATACATACATACATAAAATACATACATACATACATACATACATACATACATACATACATACATACATACATACATACACACACATACATACATACATACATACATACATACATACTACTACTACTACTACTTCTACTACTACTACTACTTCTGCTGCTACTACTACTACTACTGCTACTACTACTACTACTACTACTACCACTACTACTTACTACTACTACTACTACTACCACTACTACTACCACTACTATTACTACTGCTACTACTACTACTACTACTACTATTACTACTACTACTACTACCTACTACTACTACTACTACTACTCCTACTACTACTTCTTCTACTACTACTACTACTGCTGCTACTACTACTACTGCTACTACTACTACTACTACTACTACTACTACTACTACTACTACTAACTACTACTACTACTACCACTACTATTACCACTACTATTACTACTACTACTACTACTACTACGACTACTACTACTACTACTACTACTACTACTACTACTACTACTACTACTACTCTACTACTACTACTACTACTACTACTACCACTACTATCACTACTACTACTACTACTACGACTACTACTACTACTACTACTACCACTACTATCACTACTACAACTACCACTACTACTACTACTACTACTGCTACTACTACTACTACTACAGAATTTAATTTTTTTTTGATCCTGAATTAATTTTTTTTGATCCCTTAGCCAGAAATGATGGGCACATCCGCCAACTTAGCACCAGCCAAGCTCTCTGCCCACTCAACAAATATTGGGCAGCTCTATTTTTAGGTGTCAGTGGCATTGGAGCTCCAGCACGCACCTGAGCACCATTTCAAGTCCGAAGTGTCGCTCGGATGTCCAGTTTTGGCAGGTGGTCTTGCTGATTCAAACGTAGACATCCTGAGACCAGAGGCATGAACAAGCAATAAGCAGTGAGTCGCCATGTTTGACCTTAGGCATGGCAATGATGCATGTTTTGTCCTTCAGAGCATCTTGGCGCGCCATTTCAAACATGAACAGCATTCTACTAGCCCCGGAGTCTCTATAATATTGCTTGCCATTCCGGCGCCATTGTAGGTTTCAAGCGCAATGCTCCCTAAAAAGGGACGTTTAAACAAGTTTGTGCAGAAAGGGGCGCGATGGTTTTTTGCATGTCAATTCAGGGATGCCCCGGCAAAAAACGTCAATTAAGTTGTCGCTGAGTGTTTTCATTGCACCCGATTGCCCCAGCTCCGAACGAAGCCGTTGCAAACACATTAATCAATCAATCAATATATTGTTGATCTTATTTTATCTCATCTTACTTTAATATCAAATCTATTTTGTCTACCTTTTCCTTTCTTTTCTTTTCTTTCCTTATCTATGAATCTATTTATCCAGCTGTCTATCAATCTAAATCTAATTAAACCTATTCTAGACTAATCGAATCCAATCTAATCCATCTATCTACTCTAATCTAATCTAATCCAGGTACCAAGCCATCCATCCATCCATGCATCCATCCATCCATCCATCCATCCTTCCTTCCTTCCTTCCTTCCTTACTTCCTTCCTTCCTTCCTTCCTTCCTTCCTTCCTTCCTTCCTTCCTTCCTTCCTTCCTTCCATCCATCCATCCATCCATCCAATCAATATATCAAGCTATCTAGCCATCTGTTTGTCTTTCTATTCATGTTTCTATTATCCATCCGTCCGTCCGTCCGTCCATCCATCCATCCATCCATCTATCCATCTATCCATCTATCCATCTATCTATTATTTAACTACCTACCTACCTACCTACCTATCTAATCTATCTATGTATCTATCTTTCTATGTATCTATCTTTCTATCTGTCAATCCATCTCATCTAATCTAAATCTAAATCTAATCTATTCCAATCCAATCCAATCTATATATCTGTCTATCTGTCTATCTATCTATCTGTCTATCTATCTATCTATCTATCTATATCTATCTATCTATCTATCTATCTATCTATCTTTCTTTCTTTCTATTCTATCTATCTATCTATCTATCTATCTATCTATCTATCTATCTATCTATCTATCTATATATCTATCTATCTATCTATCTATCTATCTATCTATCTATCTATCTATCTATCTATCTATCTAATCTATCTATCTATCTATCTATCTATCTATCTATCTATCTATCTATCTATCTATCTATCTATCTATCTATCTATCTATCTATCTATCTATCTATCTATGTGTCTATCTAATTTCTCTAACCATCTAGCTATCTATTTATCTATCTATCCGTCTATCTATCTAATTAGCTATCTAGCTATCTGTCTATCTAATCTATCTATCTATCTATCGATCTATCCATCCATCCATCTATCTATCTATCTATCAATCGCATCTAATCCAAATCTAGTCTAATCTAATCTAATCCTATCCTATCCTATCATATCTATCTGTCTGTGTCTGTCTGTCTATCTGTCTGTCTATCTATGTACCTGTCCGTCTGCCATGTGTAGTTTTTTGCTACTTTTGTCTGGTGTGAGTTTTGGATGTACCAAGCGCAGGCCATGACCACACAATGCTTCACAGCCCCCAGCGCAAGGATCGACGACGAGCTCAATCTGCTCTCCGGGGCTCTTGCCTCAGGCACTTCAGATGGAGGGTACTTTTGTCACTCGCCGATTTGCATTGCAGATGGCCAACCTCCAGGCATGGTTCAATGGTGCACGGACTCATCAAAGTGAACTCCCTGTACTCAGGCTGTTGTGTTTTGAACATCACCTTCTAGGGCTGATGGTTGGTGATTGAACCAATTGTCCTTGGCGGGCGTAGCGTTGTGTTCTCCCAGACGGCAGGCTTGATTTGCTTCGGTGTCCAGCTTAAAAGTTCACTTTGGGCCGCTTGTGAAGCTGAATTAGGTTGG